AGATTGCTTAAAATATATTTAAAATGTTACCAATATCATTTAATATTTAAGTATTTTGTATGTATTAAATCAAACTGTCCACTAGTACTTTTATGCTACTCCATGTCTCATTTGGTTTATCCCTATCTTTCTACTATGATCGGTCCTAGATCAGATACCCTATATAGTCGTATTTAATGGCTCACAATATTGGTTAATAGGATATTTGGCCATTTTTTTTGGTTCACAATCTTCCTTATTTTTAGAATTAAATTATCCACGACACAATTATTTTTCTTTATTTAATAATATATCTGCCAAATGCTCTATATGTATCCTGTTAGATTTGTCACATCTCATGTTTGCTAATACTTCTGTCTGTGAGATCATATCATTCATACGAAGTATTTTGCACGGACAATATCAACTACAAAATTATATTTTTTCATGAGTTATTTTTTGTATGGAGCCATGGAGGTAGTAATTGTAAGAAAATTAGAATGTCATATTTATGATCAAACAATCTTGATCATTTATTACAAATTAATCTATATGTCCCTAAAATTCTTTCCACCTACTTGGAATGTCAAAAATTCTAAAAAAATCTTCACATTTCTCTTTTAGGAAAGTTTGTATAGGTAACATTAATTTATTTTTTTCTTACTAAACCATGACAATACATTTTCATTTTATTTCTACTTTCTTAAACTCTGATCCAAATCAAACCGGGAACAATTTTATTACAGTGAGTGAATATTTAAAATGAAATAAGTAGTCTTAATAAAGTTGGTTTAAATTTATTTAATTAACTCTATCTATTTTTCTTTTATTGAAAGGGTGGAGAGCTTTATAGAGCACCAAGACGCTTGTAGCATGGGCCGCATCGGCCGGCCGGAATCACAACCCCACGTTAAACCCACGGCTGCTCCCTGCATATCCCGCACCGCCTCAAGCGCAAGTCCATCCAGCGACACCAATCTCAGCGCCGCCGCATCCTGCTGGCCCGGCCTCCTCATGCCGTCATCCCACAACAATCCCGCGGGGACGACCACCGCTCCTATGAACATACTCGGCGCGTCGAGTAACAACTTTTACAACGCGCGTGATAAACACAACCTGGAGCTTCAGCTCTTAACAACCGCAACCGCAACAGCGACAATGTCGGGCTCCACTCCGACCCGTCGCGGGTTATTGGACGTTCCCGCGACATCAAATGAAGGCGAGGATGATTCCACGCCATCGCAACTATTGCAGCTGTCGATCGGTTCGTCATCATCATCGTCAGACGCGGGAAGATTGAGGGTGGCAATGGCGGAGAAGGCGTATGCCGAGGAGGCGAGGAAAGAGGCGAGGAGAGAGATAGAGACGGCGGAGAGAGAGTTTGCTAATGCAAAGAGGATTAGGCAGCAAGCAAGGGAGGATATGGAGAAAGCTGTGGCATTAAGGGAACATGCCATTCGCCAGATTAACTCCACGCTCTCCCAAATCACTTGTCGGGCTTGTAAACTCAAGCTTCAACCTGCCTCTCAACTAAACTAATTAATAAATGAAAGATATCTCATAATGAACTTATAATAAAATAATTATATATCACACAACCTATATATATTAACACAAATATTATCTGTTCCTTTTTTTATATTTTTGGTTTTGTGAATTTATGTTGAAGCTTCAATTCAATTCACTCCACTGTTTGTAATATGCCTGCTTGATCTAAAATGTGCCTCCCAACCACTGTTGATAGCGAGGGTATTAAATTAATGTATCATTAGCTTGTCAAGAATGAGCCAATTCTTTATCAAGGCTTAATTGTATTTGTATCCATGTATTGAATTAAATCCAATTATTGTTTGGGCTGTTTTATTGAGTTTTTTTCTTAAGTAATGCTAACAAACAAAATATTTCCATAATTGATGTTGGGTCAAAATTATTTCCCAATCTACTGCTCCACAAACTCTAGTTAGCCCATAGGAAGCCCGCGCATGAATACCGAAGGAGTTGTGAAAAGCAATCACAATTGGTAGAAGAGCAATGGTGGGACCCAATAAAATAAAAAATCTCATTTTTCTTAAAATTGCTATAACTTTTATATTTATTCTCCGAATTTTCAAAACAATATATCATAATTCATAACTTTTTATTATCTTTCATATGACACCAATATTGTATATATAAAAAATAAATAATAATTTAACACCTTAAAAATTTCATGTATTTTAAAGTATTAAAAAAATATTTGTACTCTGATTGTTTTAAAACATACTTTCTCCGCCCCCTATAATTATTCCATTTTTCCACTTTTGGAAGTTCCCCTATTGGAAGTTCCCCTATTAATGTCACACGTCATATTTGTTAATATAACATTTGTGTGACTCTAATTCATTCTTACTTTATTACCACTTTATAAACTCATTATCAACCACATAATTCTACTTTTCTTAAAAAATATACCACTTCATCTTGTCTAATTATTAGGGGGTGGAGGTAGTATATATCAAAATTCATAATGATTTATTATTTCTTTTTATATGACACTAATATTTCATAGTAAAAATAATTAAATATGGTACTCTAATAATTTTTTTAGTGTTATACCTTTTTTGGTACTCCAGGTACATCAAAACTCATAATTTCTTATTATCTTTCATTTGTTACTAATTTTCATATATAGAAATAGACAATAATTTAGCACTTTAAAAAAGTTCACAATTTTTAAAGTACTACTATGTATAATTTTTAAGATAATCAAAAAGCGAAAGTTGACAAAGTTCAATAGTTGAGAGGGAGTATTTAAGAACTATATCCATCCGTATAAAAAATTGATACAGAACGGGACATGTTCTATACATATTCGAGGGTACTGGTTCTATAATTTTCAGAAGAACCGTACTTTGAATTGAGACACTCTTTTTAAAATAATCGCCTCGTAGTGTCTCGTGCTCATTCTTAAAGTTATGAATTTTGATATATTATATGTAACGATTAGACTACAAATAAAAAAGTAATAGCAATTTAAATAATTGAGATTTTTTTAACGTGATAAATTATGTATTTATTAGTCAAAAGGGTATAACACTAAAAAAAAATTATCCAGAAATATTTAAAGAAAAGGTACCAAATTATACTAAAAAAGGTATAACTCTAAAAAAATTCTTAAAGTACCAAATAATTATTTATTTTTACCTATGAAATATTAGTGTCATATAAAATATAATAAAATATTATGAAATTTTTTATATATACTACTCCGCCCCCTAATATTGGAACATAAGAAAGTGGTGTGATTTTTAAGAAAAATAGAATTATGTGATTAATAATGAGTTGATAAAGTGGAAATAAAGTAAGAATGAATTAGAGTCACACAAATGTTAACAAATATGACATGTGACAATAATAGGAGGACATCCAAAAGTGAAAAAGAAGACAATTATAGGGGGCAGAGAGAGTATGTTTTAAAACAATCAGAATACAAATAAAAAAAGTTTTAATACTTTAAAATACATGAAATTTTTAAAGAGTTAAATTATTATTTATTTTTTGTATATACAATATTGGTGTCATATGAAAGATAATAAAAAGTTATGAATTATGATATATTGTTTTGAAAAATCGGAGCATAAATATAAAAGTTATAGCATTTCTAAGAAAAATGGGATTTTTTATTTTATTGGGTCCCACCATTGCTCTTCTACCAATTGTTGTGTGCTTTTCAGTGACCCCTACGGTAGTCATGCGTAGGCTTCCCATGGTGTAACTAGAGTTTGTGGAGCAGTAGATTGGGAAATAATTTTGACTCAACATCAATTATGAAAATATTTTGTTTGTTAGCATTATTTAAGAAAAAAACTCTGTTTTATTGAAGGCTGATTCCTGCTTCTTATGTTCGAACTAAATAATTGAATAGTTCTTCTATTGAAATTTGAGAATATTACCTCTTATATGACCATAAATTTGTGTATTTATTTAACAAAATACGGAGTATAACTAATAATATGCATTTTTCCCTAATATGGACATGTATGCATGTATATCATGTGTTTCATAGTGACTTTGGCCGATCCCTTAAAACTTCATCAAGTTTGACCAATATGAGAATTAATAAAGTAAAAATTGTGTGGTTGAGGTTTGTGCAGGAGAGAATTAATTAAAACCACTAATTCATTACTTAAAAAGGAAAGTGACAATGTTAATGGGACAACCAAAAAAAGAAAAGTTTGTAAAGCTTTAAGGAGAATGAGGGTAGGACTCGTGGGAGTATATGCTCTGTGATATATTGGGGATTAATTGTTTTGGTTTCATACCGGATATTTCTAAATATTTAAATGATATATTAAGATGTGGGCTACTCCAATAAAGTGATCTTTTATGATGTAATCTCGCATGTTATCAAAGCCAAATTGATCCATACTGTGGCGCCCCTGACATTCATGTAATTTCCATGTTTAAATTTATGTTTTTAATTAGTTTAGAATGATTGTTACTTTGGAAATTACACACTTTTAATTTGGTGTAATAGTTTAGTTTGTAAAATATTTGTAATTTGTTTAGATTAGGTTTATTCTGAGCTCAAACAGGTCCAAGAACACTTTGGGGACCATTGGTGAACATCACAAATGGAAGGAAAGTGCAAAAATGCAAGACAAAAAGGTGAAGATCTCGTTTTTGGTCTGTACCCGGTCGGGTATGACCTATACCCGATCGGGTACCCTTCTGAAAAATCAAATCGGATCAACCCAGGGACCAAGCAACATGCGGGAAAGATTTTGACCATGTTCGATTGTCATACCCGATCGGGTGACCGACAGGCCCGATCGGGTATAACCCTATTTTTCACCTTCTGGGAAGCCGCTGAGTGTACCCGATCGGGAGCCTTCTATACCCGATCGGGTACACACCTGCATGCTCTATTTCCCTATAAATAGACCCCTTTCCTTCCCACAAAAAAGAACCAATTCCTATATACTTCTAAGCTCAGTTTAGACAAGTTATTTATTTATATTTTCTTCATGTTTAGTCTCCAAATGAGGAGCTAAACTCTTCCATCTTGGTTTTGCTACTTTGAATCTTAATGAATTGTAAGTTGTGAGTTATTTTCTTTAATCTTCTTCCTTGAATATTAATTAATTCATATTCCTATTACATATTAATATTTTGAGCATTACTTAAAGGATCAACTAGTTTTGTTTCATAAATTAATTAATACTAGAATCGGTCGATTAATACGCTTGTTATTAATTCGATCCTTTCACGGTAGTAAACTTGGGTTGTTAATGCATGCGTCTCATGGTTAATAACCTAAGGGGAATTAATTATATTGATTAAACCGATAAACCGCTTGTGTTGAGGTTATCAATCTCAATCGTTTTCATCTATATTTTATTGCTACTATCGAGTGAATATATGGCGTGTGTTCTATATTAACTCGGTAGTAAGTTTTATTAATGAACGCGTATCGTTATTAATAACTACCCTTGATGAATTGGATATACTCCTCGATTGAGTATTCGAGAGGAAGATAGTTAAAGATATAATCGGGATCGACGAACATTTCATTAAGTGGATAAAAGCAAAGCCAAGTCTCCTTCTCATTAATTAAACCACATAACTCGTTCATCTTCGTGCTTAAATATAATTTAAGCTCATCAATTAAACATAAAAAAACTTGTTGTTACTTATCTATTTCTATAAAAAGAGAAGTGTTCCTTTCCCTGTGGATACGAACCTTACTACACTATACTACGTATTAGTGTCGTACTGATTATTAAACAATGGTGAAAAACTAGCTCAACTTATGGATATGGGTGTCACAAGAGAACGGTCTGAGCCCTCAGGTTAAACTTCAAGTAAAGACTTGAGCTAGAACAACACTTTCTTTTCATCAGCGTGTGATTAAGGTTCAATTTAATCTTCAGATAACTGTTCAACCGTTCTTGGGGGCCTAAGGAGTATGTGGTTAATTAGTCAAGAAAAATAAAGTCCATTCTAAATTTGACAACCAAATCCATGAAGTGATGCAGCTCTATGCATATAAAGTTGAAAGGTGATTCTATACGGGCTTTAAAATAAACGGTGTAATTTGGATAGATCAATTGTTAAAGGGGAATAAAATACTTGGGTCCATCTATTGAAAACTTTCAGTTGTGCAAATAACTTGTAAAAAGTAACTATACTTAATTCTGTATTTTTAGTTCTTTATACTAAAAAAATACTTATTGTAAATATAAATATTTTGTTACGATTTGATGGATATTTATAAACTATTGTTAGATATGTATGTATAAAATTCTTTGGGGAATTATATCAATCTAGGACCTGAAAGATAGACGAATCATCAATCCGAGATCTGAAAGATGAAATGCATCGGTATAGTACCCCAATGATGGAGAACTATCAATCTAGGACTCAAATGATTTAAAACTATCAATTTAGGATGTAAGTTTTCATAAATTTTATTACTTTTTTTATTTTTAGTAAAAATTAAATGATATTTAGTTTTATTAAACTAATAAACTTTTGTGAAGAAAAATTTACCAAATATTAGCAATAGAATTAATAAAAAAATTAAATAAATCAAACCTTATAAAATGTTAGGATCTAAATTGATAGTATTTCATCATTCAGGTCCTATACTAATACTTCTTCCGTTCCATAATTCTTGCAACATTGTGATTTTTACACTATTCACAGATCTTACTTTGACCATGATTTTCTACTAATATACATAATCAAATTATTACGTATAAAATGTTATTGAACTCTTATCAATGTGAATTTCCAAAATATCAACTTTTTTATAATGTTTACTAATACAGACAAAGTTGTGCATTAGCAAACGTGAAAGTCAAACTGTTGCAAGAATTATGGAACGGAAGATAGTACATTTCTTTTTGTTATGAATACACACATGTATCATCATTAAGTAAAACGTACAAAATGGCTTCTCATGCTTACGTATCGTTTAATTCTAGCTTGAAACTTAGTCTGGACGCAATATTACGTGTTACATCTTTAACAGCATTGATTGTATATCTGCTCTAGTTTAGTGTTGGACTATTTGAAGATTTTATTTGAATCAAAAGGTCAAAAAGTGGAGGTAAGAAAACTCGATTAGGAATGCTATATTTATGGTGCAGCGTTTTAGTTATTTATAGTAATAGTCCGGTTGGTAACCCATATTTTAGGAATAAATTCCATTTTTGATCCTACGAGTTTTAGGTCAACTCAACATTTAATCCACATCTTTCACTTTGTCCACTTTTGATACATGACTATTGTGTTTTCGCCCATATATGATCCTTCCGACATTGTTTCCGATGG